CTCAAAAGATGCAAGAGTAATGTTTTTTTGGTCTTGAAGGAATTCTATACATTTAAAGAAGACATTCATAAATGCATGATACACCCAATAAAACTAAAACAACAACAAGTAGGCTCTATACTTCGTAATTTTCTTCATTTATGATTGCAGCTCTCAGAAATGTGTTAAGCTTGTTCATGTATGTGTGAAATCATGCAATGACTTCACACATACATGACCAAAATAAAGGAAATATTCATATTCATGCATGAATTATCTGCTGAAGGCTAAATACAATTTTGTCTGCAGATTTGTGTTGCAAAATTGCTTTTAAGAATCTATCAATCAAGAAATTCATATCTTGGTTGTCTTGCTGTCAATGGCTTAAATAGTCTGTCAGAGAAACCTTTTCCTGTATCATGCCATTACTTGACAGAAATCATTAATCATCCCATCTTTAAAACATGTGCTCCACATACTTAACATTTCACGTCCATGGAATGTTTGCAGATTTGGTGAGTGTTTCACATTTGCAAAAGTGTGATGCTGCGAAAGAATTAAATCATGATCGACATGACATTCAGTTTTTGCTGTTGGTGTAAATTTCTTGATATGCTAAAGATTTATGCCGAGAAGTATCTGGTTTTACAATACTTCAGAAAGGTCAATCATGCCATATTTAGGGTAGTCCGGAAAACTGGCTTATTTTGATTATAACGATCTCAACCAATGCAATTTCCCCCTGTATTTGCGGCAAACCAAAGATGGCGTGATCCCGAAATATAATGGGCGTATGAATTAGTGGACGACGCCATCTTCGACTTGCAGCAGGTAGGGGAGAGGTTTCAAAATTAAATATAACTGACCAGATTCTGGACTTAAAGATAAAGTTGAGTTCTGGTCATGTGATTGCGATGTGAAAGAAACATTGTGGAATCGAACAGAAAAGGTTGATCATCTGTTTACTGCAAGGTTCTGGAATCATCAAAATGATAAGAAGTTTGGCCTAGTCTTGGTAAAGTTACAAGCTCTGTACACAGAAAGATGTATATGGGACTACACAAACATGTGGCATAAAAAATGTGTCCTGATTTTTATGATGTTACATGCCATATTTAGAATATTAAGGCATTTGATGCTTTTCAGGGAACATTTTTATCTGATGATCTTCCACACTTGCATAATACAATGATAATGCTCACAAATTATATTTTTCACCTCTTCCCAGAACTCAAACCTTCTCTTAATCAATGTTATGCATTCAAAATGGAACGGAAGGGAGGTTTGAAGAGGCAGACTAATGTTATTGCAATTTGAATGTGTCAATCAGTCCATGTCTGGCAGAATTTACTTGCCGTTCTCTAGCAATCCTACACCATAGACCATCAAGACTGATGGATAGACTGAGCTGGCTTTTCTTGCTGTTTGTCTGCGTTCTAGCTGTCAAGGGACTGTATCTTATAGCCCTTTTAGACTAGAGAAAGCATCGTATAGACGGACATTGTAGAAATACTTGTTGTGTGAGACGTGTGCAGTTGTGTACAATCCCTCTTGATACCGCTATGTGTCATTCACTTGACAGGTGCGCTTTGATTCTTTATAGAGTTCTCATTCAAAGAGATGCCCAAACTGCTGTTTTGCTAAATGACATTTTGTGATACATTCTATATTAATGCAAGAAAAATATACTTACGTTTAGGGATAAACTGTAGAGTTTCCATAGGAAACGTCCTATTTCTGCTTTTCTGAATGGGGGAAGGGTAAAGATGAATAACAGGATACACAGATGGGGAGAAGGAAATGGTGAAGTAAAGATAGAGGGAGAGAGACAAAGAGAGAGAGAGGGAGAGAGAGAGAGAGAGAGAGATACAGAAAGAGAGATTGAGAGAAGAAAAGAGAAGAAGAAAGTTAGACAACAACAAGAAGAGAGAGAGAGAGAGAGAGAGACAAAGAGAATAGGAGATACACATATGAAGGAAGAAAGAGACATAACCTTTCAGAAGGTGAAGAATGCAAAATTTGCAAGGGAAGAAAGTGAAAAATAAATGAGCTTGAACAGATAGATTACTTTGTATCAAAACACTTGTCTGGAATGGGAGTATCTGAATACAATTTTAATTCATCTTGGGTGCTATAAGCATGCTATGAGGCACATTTATTAGTAGCATAAAAGCATATACTTCGCATAGGCCTATTTTTTTCGGTGAGAAAGTATCAGAAAGTGAACTGAACTATTAAGTAAGCTATTTTGTCTTATGGTATTCTGATTTTGACCCCGGAAATCCTTCAGAAAAATGAAGAAAGATTGTCAGCAAAGCTATAAATAGCTCTGCCCATCGAAACAGGTGTTTTTATTATTGTTACAGCTTCCGTCTTTCTTTGCTGAAAATGTCCTCCTCAAGATATCTATTAGGGAAATATTATGATTGAATTTTATTTTAAATGCATGTACTTTTAATAGTATCTGAACGTCATCCTTTCCCTTTGTACTTTACCGATCGATCGGAAGTATTTTGTATCAAAATGTACAATTTTAAGACATCTAAAGGAAATAATATCCCAGGATATAAGTCTAAGTGTCCTTTATCTCTGAAGTTTCATCATATTCCTCTGGGTAATTACCTGACACTTTTGTGAATGGAACGTCTTGTTGACTTTCTCGTCATGAATCGAAAGTTTCCAAACTAAATTGCCAGACAGTTTTGTCAGACATTTTTTTCTCTGTGGGCTATTTCTACATGTAGTAGGTCCTGTTTCACGGATGTCTAGTCTCATATTATTCAAATGTTTTAGAGGGATTTTTGTTAATTTCTTTCTTTCTTTCTGATATTTAGACAAGGTGACTCATTATCACCAATAATGATGGTCTTCCATGAGGCCCTGTTAAACATAATGAGGAACGATAATTTAAAAATAATATAATAATAATCATAACAATAATAATGCTGGGTATGATCTAAAAAATACTAAAATTCCAATCAAGAATTTATTTATATGCAGGGCTCTACACTATTGGAAGGGGTTCCGGATTAAACTTTTTACATGTATGTACGAGTCCTAATTAAAAAGTTTAAATTTGTTGGGGTCTGGACTTAAATTTCGGGTGCCCATAAATTTCGGGTGCCCATACATGTATATCCTGGGCCATGTATTATAAAGCGTTCTGATTGATCGTAAGGTTTAATGTTGAGCGTGAGGCTATGACTCATCGTGTATTGATCAAACTTAAGATCAATCATAACTCTTTATAATACAGGGCCCTGGGCGCCTATTAGTGTTGAGCTCCGTTTTATGGGATGTTGTTTTTGTTTTTTTCTTTCCTGGGCGGTGGATGTTCACTCATGTACTGCCACGTCATGAATTGAACCGTTTGGTACTGTACTTGTAGACTTGTAAGTACCGCTACTTGTAAATACTTTTCGTGCACTTTACCATTTGGTTCAGTTCCTGTGATAATTGATTCTGCCTTTTTGTGATTTTGAGGGGAATTACCATTTTGTTATACTTCCTGTTACTCTGTATGTTGTGTGACTTTTTTTATTTGGGTTCAATTATAACTGCTTTTAAAAGTTACCAAATTCAACTGCGAGTGGTCACTTGGATTGCAGCAAAAACAAACAATAATTCAATGATTTGATAATTTGTATTTTGCAAACTTGCCACAGTGTCCATATGACCACACTGGCAGGCGTTTTAGGTTGTCTAACAGGATTTTGATGATCAATGTCTCATTGGCAACCGACTCTTTAAACTTCTCATCAATTACAAGTGCTAAAATTCTATGATGAATTTACTTTCAGCCAGTCAGATGCAATGATTTCAGTAGCTTATAATAGTTATTAAAACTTGTTATTGATAACAAGTTTTATGAAACAAGCCCGGTCCCTGTTTCACGAAACCGTACGATAATAATAATGATAATAATAATACTCAGTTCTTTTATATAGCGCATAACACATTACAGGATAGCATGTCCCTATGCGCTTCAAATAGAAAGGAAAAAATTACAAGAAAAAGTCATACAAATTAGAAAATCCACTTAAAAGCAAAGAAGTACATGTTACAATGAGTATGATATAAGCTAATGAAATCATTGAATATGATTGTGGCATGTGTGTTGATAAAAATGATTTTTAACAAGGTTTTTTAAAACAGAGCCCTGGGATGGCTACATGTATCATCAATACTAAAAAAAAAAAAGTGCTCATGCAGCGAAGAGTTGCATGCACTGCAAATTCATGTGAATGAAGTAGAAGCGATTGATACAGTTCCGTTTCTATTTCTGCAAGACAAGAATCTGCAGAATGTGCAGTATGTGGGAAGGCCATTGGGTTCAGGGACACATTTTCTGCAGGACTGTTGGGAAACCTTGTAACCCCTTGCTCAAAATGGCTGCTGCTGCTCTGTCATTTCATTTCTTGAGGATTGTCTTCATCAGCTGGTAATTGCAAAATATCCCGCTATTTTGACTTTCCCGGTTGCAAATATCCAGCTAATTTGTGTCTTCATCAGCCCGCAGTCGCAATTAGCAGGATATTTGGTCGAGATAATCATCCCAAGATATCTTGGGATAGTTTGCAAAATATCCCACTATTTGGCAAAATATCCAGCTATTTGTCCGGTGCAAAATATTTCGAGCTAATTTCTCAAGGTCAAATCTTATGAATACGCGATTTGTAACTTTGGATTATTTCCTAAATCAGAAATAGTGGGCTATTTGGCAATCTCGAGATGATGAAGACGCGCCTACTGACCCCCATATTTCCACCCCAGACCCCCCCCCCCCCAACCCCCCCAACCCCCCCCCCTCCCCAAAGCGTCTTTGTAATTAATTTCTTTTTTATTCATCATCATTGACTTAGAATTTTGAATAAATGTACGTAGTTTCAGTAGTATACGAAAATCAGGCTTTAAATTTTTTTTTTTTTTAAATTTGTATTTTCCATTAAAAAATGTCCTTATTGTGAAAAAGCATTGCAACCAAATGACCCTTTTAACCGTGTGATGAGATGGGTGTGTGCCCAGCCGAGTCCTAGATTTGTTCACCTGTGTTTACATAGCAGATAATTGGTGAGGCAATCCAGGTGAAGCGAAGTGTGGCGAGGAGAGAATCATTGACCTGATTTTACCTGGTACTCCTCAGTACGGTGACTCAATGGGAACAAAAGTCATTGTTTACTCTCACACGGTGGGAGACCACTGTTACAAGTTGTTGGAGAGAGGGGTGTTCACGCGAAGTTGTGTGCAGTCTGGACGCAATTTACTTTGGGGTCATGCCAGCTACATGTAGTTAGTTGCCTGGCTTGTAGTTTTTAACTTGGAATACTGGATGTATCGGTCCCGCTTGAACCCTGATCATTGTGAGTGGATTATAATTTAAAACTACGACTGTTCCATGTGAACATAACTTGTGAGAGATGAAAAGAGAGAGAGAGAGAGAGAGAGAGAGAGAGAGAGGGAGAGAGAGAGGGAGAGAGATAAAGAATAGAATCGGATCAATTGATGAAATTTGGTGCATCTTCACACCTTGCAGACAAAAAGCCCTAAAGGAATTTTGTGAGTGTTCATGGAGTGCAACACTTGTGGTCCTTTCTTTTTTTTTCTCTCAGGGTACTCTTTTTAAAACTTGCGACCAACCTGATAATCGTAAAGAAATAAAACTCTGGAGCTACAGGAAAGCTTACAGGGATTTTCCAGTTAAACCTTTGCCTACCGGAACCGAATGGTTCCTGTGTCTAGCGTAGGGAATCAGAAATTTTGATGGTCAGTGGGTTAACTTATGGATGGAGCAGCATTGCCATGAGCGCCCCCATTTCTATGTACTGTGGAGAGAAAGGGAATTACTGTGTCTTCACAGCTTCAAAAAGTGGGCTATAATTGGGCGAGAATGGATTGTAAAATTATTGGTTCAGAATTGTCAAAATGTTATCAGTACAGTCAAACCTGTCTACAGCGACCGCCCAAGGGAAACACAAATAGCGGTCTTTGTAGACAGGTTCCTTTAGTACACGTTTCAATGAGAAAACATTTTCACGGGAAACTAAAAATGTGCTCGGTGTAGACAGGTGGTCACTAAAGCAGGTTAGACTGTATTTATGTCTCTAGTGCATTAATAACATTTCAAAAAACCTAAAAAACCAGACTACAACGCGTGAACCAACCTACATCCATGTAGACTTGACATGTGTGCATCTAACTGGACTGAATGAATTATGGACATTTTTATACTTCATCGCTTGAAAATGATGAAAGGAGGGAGTTACAATACAAAAGATTGAGGGAAAATTGTATGCTGTGTGTTCACGAGCTAGCAAAAGCTAAAGGTGGTGGTTGAGAGTCGAGGTTATATATAAACAGTTTGATGTTCCTGGAAGTTCTTACAACGTTAGATGATGTCTACATACATTGTACCTGTTTCTGTATTACAAAGATCAGCACGACTCGGATCTTCTTGTTTAATCAAAGACTAGGCTGTCAAGCTGCAAGCATTCCACATTTCATGGTTTTGTTCTGTAACTTTTAATTGAAAGCCCTTCAAATATACCAGGTGCATGAAAAGATCAGGCAAAAATTTCTGCAAACATTGTTTCTGTTGGTTTTGCATGACCACATCGTGCTTGACGCCAGGAATTTTATAAAGGAAAGTAAGATTTAAAATCTGTAAATTGGCAAAACATTGAAGAGGTAAAAAATCACTGTCTTTTAAAAAAGTTGTTAAACTCTTTAAAATAGCTTTTAAACATGCATATTGTTTCCAGAGACATTACATTTCAATTGAATAATGTTGCAATAAAAGAACAATATAATTATTGCCAATTTGAAGAAAAAAAGTGATCAATTTAGTCCTTAAAAAGTTTTCTGTCCCAAAGTTGTTTAACCACAAGTTCAAGATTATTATTGCCAATTTGTAGGGAAAAAAGGTTGATCAAGAGAACTCTTTAGAAATCCTGTCCTGTAAAATGGAGCTTGCAATGTCTGCCAATCGTTTATCACTCTCTTCCTCCTGGTATTCCCCATGTGTTTAATCAGTTTATATTTGGCCCAACATTTACTTAAAGATGGCCTCACCTATTCCACCGCAAGATCAAAACAGGATCTAAGAATGAAATAAGTAATGAAAAAGTAGCGTAATCTAATAATGATATTAAATAATAGGGGGTTTGAACTTTGAAGGAAGGAGTTCTGAAGAAATCCCTGAGGGATGCATGAGATTCCTGTGTTTTGACATTTCTAACATGGGTTTGCGTTGGAAGAGAAAACATGATTACATGGAGTTAGGCCTTCGACTTTCTGAGAAGTCGGCCAGGTTGACTGTACTAGTCTATATGCATAGCTGCCAACTATTCATACTTTGGAAGACTGATTTCTGTTTTCTGCCTTGAACTGGTGTTAGGAAACCTATATTCCTCTCACTTTCCTCAAGAAAAATAGACATCTAGATATTCCTTGCTTTAATAGGCTTTGATGCACAGCTGCCAACTATACCCGTTTAGAAGGACTGAATTCTATTTTTTGTCTTGAACTGGTGTTAAGAACCTCATAGTCCTCTTATTTTCTTCAAGAAAAATAGACATTTAGATATTCCTTTATAAGGCTTTGGAGATTCCTAATTTTGAGTGTGTACCTGTATATAATTTGTGATGATGATGTACTGCTTGTGATAACGTGATTTGTTGCATTTTGGACCGGTACTTTGGTAAGTGAGATACATGTAGATAAAAAAACAAAACTAGATTGGTTCTTGTTTCATGAAAGTTACAATCATATACCAAGTTTTGATTTCACCATGCCTTCCTGAAGTTCATACTCTTTCTTGTGAAAAAGAGAATTTGAATGCTTCTGTAAATAAATACTGGATATCCTTTCAAAATTTTTGATACAGAAAGTACCTATAACTTCTTTTTCTTTAGACATAATTAATTAAGACATAAAGATTTTAGGCTCTTATTGGAACCAATAGTTGCCTTTAATATTTATCTTGAGGGATATGCTTTGCTTAGGGGTACATGGAACCTTTTCTTACAATGATCCCATTGTTGCTATCGAGTTGTCTGGCATGTGCCTCGATCTGCTGTATTTGGGTGCATGCTGCGAGAAAAGTTTACATAAAGTTTGAATGTGCCGTTCTATTTCGGAAGACAGTTTTTAACCTTTGCCAGCACTCTATATTTCCCTGTAATAATTATGGAACCATCCTGTTTTGCCAGACGATTACATGTGCATGTACGAAGAGTTTAATGTTTGCAGTTACTGGGGTGCAGTTAATAAAAAATGAAACTAAAGAAAAAAAAAAAGCATGCATAGCCCATCTTTGTATGTCCTTGCAAATACAAGATGCATTGAAATCTATAACAAGCTGTCCACCATGAAATCCCTTAGTAGTCATGAAGCCAAGCAAGAAAGACGGCAATTAATTATGAATTTTTTGTGAACTTGATTAATTGTCCTTTTTTCACTCTGATGAGCTCCTTCTGGATATATATCAAGGCTTTTTGTGTACGTCTAAATAGGCCTTGAGATAGATGTTGTCATGCTGATATGCATACCCCTTGACATCTACATGGAAATGTAAATGTACATGTACATTCATTGTTGTGTTTGTTTAAAAACTAGAATGATTTAATGCATTAGCTACATGAGAAGGTGTCACAAGGAGTCCATATTATGACCATATGAAAGTGTTGAATCTGAATGGATTTGATTGACTGTTAATATCTCTCTTGTTTTTTTATGTGCAGAATAAGATACTGAAGCCTGCTACACTAAAAAGCCCTGTGGATGCTGTACTCTTAATATCTGCGAGACGCTTCATTCTCAGCGGGGAACATCATGTCCGTAACTGAACCAATGCTGAACATATACCCGTCCACGAACCACCATGCGCAGATGCACCACGACGGACCGCTGGCCAATGGCGAGACCAGCTCGACGACCAGCAGCGAATCGGACGTCCAGCTTAAGGGCCAGAACGGCTCGCTCTCCCCAATGGACAACGGCCCCGACATGTACACGTCGGACGGCTCCATCGACAGTCAGGGCCAGGTGCAGCAATATGTAAACGGGCCCATCGCCAACTCGTGCCCAGCGAACTACATCCAGGAATACGACGGCAGCATGGACGGGACCAACGCCAACTACGTGCCCATCCCGGGCCAGGAATATGACGGGCATTTGGATTATCCCTCGCCCAACCAGGAGTATGTGAACCAGGAAATCTACCAGGGTCAAAGCCCGGAATATGTGGATTATAACCAGGGGCAGGGGACGACGCCCATGCCGGTGGAAGAGGGTGTGCCCCAGGGACAGGTGCAAGAGGAAGGGGTACAGGGACAAACCCAGGGACAAAAGCAGAAATATGTGTTTTATCTGCAGATCAAACCTGGTGAAGCATTTCCGGTGGAAAATGGGGATCAAGTACAATATATACACGGTAAGTAATAAGCGTTTGGCGTTGGCAGTGTCAATATTATCCAAGAGGAATCGGGTCAGTTCTTTACAAATTGTACATTGTTGTAGTCTTGTAGATGATGTTTATGCTAGCATATATTATTCATAACCAACCAATCACAAGGAATTTGTTGTTTTTGTTGTAAGAGGCAGGAACTACATTTAAATTGTACAACAATGTTTATGTACTACCAAACTTTAAAAAAACACATCTTACATGTATGCGAAGTTGCCAGTCTTCAGCTGTTCCTGAGTTTTGCAATTTTTTTGATAGTACTGAATTGTGTATGGGACCAAGAGCTTCAAGGAACATCCAGAGACGTTTCCCTCAATGTTATCATCGGGATGTCCTGCAGTACCCGAAATTTGACAGAAGATTACCCCTCCGCATCCGATTGGGAATATCTGCTGGATCAGAAGCGCAGAACAGTGCAGAACTGGTGCCGTACGTGATGTTTGTCAACACAGAATGGAATATTTGTACTAATAATGTATGTGCTGTATTTTCAGAAGTCCCCTGCTGAAGTATTGTTATTTTGTAAAGATCTGCATGTACATCTAAAGATAAAGATTAATGTCTGGGTTGAAGAAATTGCTTTCTGCACATCCTTGTAGCGACTTTTGTTGCATTATCAAGAAAAAAAGTTACTTTTTGGTGTCTAAGAACAGTTGATAATGCAACAAAAGCTACAAGGGAATTGCAGAAAGCACTATTCTTAAACACTTCCATTATTACAGGACTACATGAAGGAAACGAGTCAATCTGTACATGTAGTAAATCTTTGTGCACAGTTCAGTGTCGAAACACTGAAACGTGCCTCCGAGATGATGCCGAGATAGAGCAAAGATTGAAAAGGAGGTTGCGTCTGTTCCACAAGTGCAACGTCCTCGGTTGGCCTTGAGAGAGAGACATTATGAGTAACATTGCTCCATGTACAAAGCCCCTTTTATGTCTCTGTGGTGGGGCGGAAAAAGGATCAAAACTAAAACATGTGTAGCAAAGGATCTTTGCTGGAAATCAGGCTTGTCATTTTTTTTTTTTTACTTGTTATCGAAGACGTCGTTTCACTTTGATATTGATTTTACGGTGTTTGCTGTTTGATTTTTCGAAAAAGGTTAAGAAGTGTTGTAACATGCAAACTTGCAAAGCAGTGTCGTTGAAGCTTTCTGTTCATAGAGTGAGTTTGAATGCATGAAGAAATATCTTACATTTAACAACTGAATTGTTCATACATGTACCCCTTGTAAATTTTAATGTTTATTGTGTTTTTCTTAACTCGAGAATGAAAGGTGGAACTGTCGAAATAGGGCCTTTGTTGAATAGTTTTTAGATGTATGCTTTAATATGTCACATTCTCAAGAAACATAAATGGGGACAAATCAATGTTTTCACATACTTTACTTTTCTCTGAAAATTACAAAACTTGGTGAGGGTATGGAATTATATGAATAATTTAGCTAACTACCGGCATATGTATAGTTAATTTCTGTAGATTTTAAGTACAGATTCTTGTATGGAAAGGTTGAGAAATGTGTGTACAGTGTAGGCTACTTTGTGTATAACCTGGATTAGTTCACACAAAATGTCATTAAAGAAAGAAATTTTGATTCTCCATTTTTAATGGTAGATTCACTCATGGTACAATTTTTTTTTATTGAAAAGGAAAAAAAAGGGGGGGGGGAAGGCCTCCAGACTTGACCTACAGGTACATGAATGTCATAACCTGAACTAGAGATTAGGCTATTTGAACATGTAGCCTTAGGAGTTTGACAAACTGTTTTCCTCTTCATTCCTTACTCTCAAGTTTGCCCTCAAGACTTGTTTGTGTAAGGTCAAGAGTTCTTTAAATGTCAGATTGCCTGGTCAGTTGGGAAATGGCCTTTGTAAAAAGAGGGCACACAATTTTGATTTATATTACATCCTGGGGTACTACATGTACAGTAGTACAGCCAACTGCAATAGGGCTACTCAGTACGAACTTGCAGGTTGTACGATACACGATACAGACTTCCAGGTTGTAGCGTTGGGGTCTACCACCTACATTTTTCAAGGAAAGCAGTAACTGCAGGGCTATGAAGCGAAAGGTGTTCTGGGGCACGATTGTGATCTACATGAATTACTGTGACATGAAGAAAGTCTTACCTTGATTTAATTGTCAAAAGTGAAACCTTTTCTTTTCTCAATAGGCCTACAGTATTCTCTAGAATCATCTGAAGAAAATACCCTAGTGATGAATTATGACCTTGTTTTTTCGCAAGGTTTGTTGTGAGTGCCGATTGAAACAAGAAAAGATGAATAGAGAGACTCAAGTAGTGAGAACACTGTTTCAGTGCATGAATGTACTGTAAATGCACCTGAGGTTGATACAGGTTTAAGGTTATGGAAGGTCAGGGGAATTGTCCTTTAGCAAAGTTGGTCACGAGTGTCGTTTAAAAAAAATCAGATGAAAAAACTCCTTAGAGAACACACTTTCAATGCATTAGTGTAAACACACACCTTGGGTTGATACAGGTTAGGTCATGGAAGGTCAGGGGAACTGTCCTTTAGCAAGGTCAAGCGTAGTCCAGTAATGGGAAACACAGCTGAGTATGATGTATGGGCTGTAATGGTTCGTGTGGACAGTGTTGGCTGAATTCCAAGAGCAGTTCAAACTTTTTTATTCCAGCATTATTTTATCTGTACCAGTATGATGGTATAGACCTTATTACGTAGCACATACAGTGTACATGTACTGTACACGTTTGTCCATGGTTGGTCTACATTATGCCATTTTCGTAAAGTAACCAAATTTATGCATTTAATGCCTTTTTGAAGCACCGCAGTACAAATTTCATTCACCTGTTTAAAATATGTATCTAAAAAATTCTCAATAGTGTGAAATGCATACATTAGTTGTTGCTAGGTAGGACAAACATTATGGCTTGCTATACCCAGCAACACATAACATATGCAGTTTGCAATCTAAATATTGAAATACAATTTTTCTTAACGGTTGAATGAAGTAATTAGTATTCAGGCACTTCACAAAGGCTGTATGCATTAAATTCTGTTACATTACAAAAATACTAAAATAGTCAAGTATTGATGATGGAGCTCTCTGATATATTTGTAACCTCATATTGAACCTGTACCAGTATGACTTTATAGACCTTATTACATATGTTTGTTCATGGTTAGCCTATAATTTACACTTGCATATTTATTTAAAATCAACCGATCATCCATCTATCGACACAATGATATAACCACAATGTTGAGCTCTGTGATATATACATGTACAATGTAAACTGACATTAGTATGTTTTATAGTGACATTCCATTCTTGGGTAACACACATTGTAAATCACAACACAATGGTAAATCACAACACAATGGTAAATCACAACACAATGGTAAATCTTCAGGGTAATCCCCCCTTTTGAGTGCAGTATGTGAAGCAAGTGGGTACAGTTAATACCCTGGGATATCTAGTCTTAATACACAGACTGTAATCTGAAAGTCTTGAGGTGAGCCTAGCCTAGCTCTGTCTAGCCTAGCCTAGCTCTGTCACTCTCTAAGCAGATAAAAATACAAAGCCTGTGGTGTATGTAGTAGACCATGCAGTATGTGTAGTCTCACCATTGAGACAAAGTGTAATATGCAATAATGACTGACAAGGGTTCATGCACTGAGACTAGACCAAGACTATGGAATACCTTCCAGGCTAGCCCTATTGTGTGAAGGGCTTTGGTTATTCCTTCCTTTGTGTCTCCCAAACTGTGCTAATTATAGGGTATAAAACCTTTTTGTGAAGACAGAATTTTTTGAAAAGGGTATAATGGGTACAGTGTATTACAATGTACAATGTACACCCTGTATGTACATTGTAGTGTACATGTTGATCAGTGTGTATGAATGTAGATGGTACAGCATACTGAAATATTCAAATTTTATGCATAATTTTAAATAAAGGTTGATCTTGAAAAACTGAAAGCTTGCCTGAGGCTTGTCCAACAAAGCAACAAATACAGTATGCAGACTGGATTCCAAATATTGTTGTTCATTCATCAATACCAGGTGTATGGAATAACTTGCAACTACATGTACTTGCAACTACTGTACATGTACTGTACATGTACTTGAACGTTTAAACACTTTTTCATTTTAAGTTTTACCTTAAGATTATTATTTTTTCTTTTTAAGGCCGCAATCTGAAAGCTTCACTTATGATTGCGGTCTCGTGCACTTTTTCAACTGATAGTTTGGATAATACTTTAAATTCCATAATATGTTATAGAAATATTAAGTGTTGTTATTATATGTACATATATATATATATGTTTATATGTTCTTTGTTTTTTTGTTGTTATAATTGGAAAAATGCAGAAATAAAATAAAATCAAAATCAAATAAAACTACGTACATGTAGGCCCCAGAAAAGAAACATCCATAAACTTGAATATATATAATTAAACAGGTCTATGGTATCATTTGATAAATACCTGAAAGCTTTACAAATTCTGTAAAGACATTTGTGTTGTGCTCTGAAATCCAGAAAATCTTGTGAAATGTACTATGATATGTACATTGCGCAATTCACCTGTATACTGTGTACAGATCAAAGTTCTGTTATCCAACAGTGGGGAAGTTTTCTGTGTATCAGTGCATAATACTATGTCAACAATATACACACGCAATGAATAGAACAAGGTCCATTTATAGATCGAGGCATTGGTGTATATTAGTACCAGTACATGTATTACTAGACAATAATATCTGGCTACGTGTCACATGTGTGAAACGCCATACTGTTTACGTATACTTCAATGCAAGTTGTGTACAGATGATTACCTCTTCACGTATTTGTAATATCAAGCCCCACCTTTGTTTTGATGTTAATTGTGGATACAAAGACCAGGTGTGTATTTTTAAACAAGACAAATGAACATGCAGTATTGAATGTAGATGTAATGTTATTGTTAAATGCTTTTCATGTAATTATAATGGTGTACTCGTCCATATTGGAAGATGGCGAATGTGAATGTGAATGTTAGGCCAAGTACATGTATATATGTACATGTACAGTATGTTACATGATTTGTGTTGTACCTGTATACATAATGTACACTGTGCTATATATGCCTGCCACCTATTCAATTGATAAAAAATCTGCTTATTCTTTTTGCTTTAATATAACTATTTGGAATGTATCTAATTTTTAATGTTTTATGCAATATAAAAACTGATAATTTTAAGTGCACTTACAACAATTTTATATGTTGAGAATCACAATGTATAAAAGTATAATGCTCTGCTGGCTGGCTGAGCAGATTTTATATAAATAGATAGACATGATCCATTTTATGTGTTTTTTCTCTTTCAGTATTTTGTCAATAGAAATTGTTTGTATTTAACTTTGTTAATGATGAATGCTGTTGTCTTTTCTTCAGGTCCAACGCTAGTTCAACTCCTTTCCAATTCCCCCACCCCTCCGCAAATTCACATGGTGAAAACCGGGCACGGATGCGTCCAAACCATGGCCAACAACCTACCCCTCCAGCCTCCGGCGCCAATGCAGTCCATGCCCATGCAGCTACCCGTACCGCAGGACGGCCGCGACGCCATCAACCAGGCACCCGTCTACCCCAATCACAACCAGGCACCGGCCGCGGCGCCGGTACAGCAGCAAATGTACCAGCAGCAGCCACCGATGTTCCAGCAGCCCCCTCCCGGTAACCAGCAGGTGTACCCCCCTCATATGCTGGGGGGTTACCCTAATACGGCGGGTATCCCGCCACAAATGCACACCCATGTACCAACGGTGTTCATGGGTACCGGTGTCCACCCCACCCCAATGCATATTCAGAGGTTTCCTCCCGCTCCATGTACCTCAAACCATCCTCATCCTCAGCATCAAGGTTCGAATGGGGATCTTTCACCTCGCCAAGGTGGGTTCAATGAACTTTGCTCTTCTACCATTGTTTCATAGCTGGTGAAATTTTGCCTCCCCTCCTTTAACCCATACCCAGCGGAACCGGTTGGCCTATGTATTAAGCCTATGGAAATGAGAGGGTTCAGGAATGAAAGGGTTAAATAAGAGAAGGTTTGAGTTCTGGTAAAAGTGACCAATATTTAGTCTGCTTTTTATTTATTTCATATTGGTATGGAAAATTATAAGAATTTGTTTGTGTTCCCTCAAAAGGATTGCTCTCCAAATGCCCCTAGGTTCAAAATATGAACAGAATATCTGGAATGTTTGGAACAAACTTCTATGCCAGATGTCTGTGTAGTCCCATATACATATTTCTATTGCATGTTACTTGCAACAAGACTGGGCCAATATCTTCCAAAACATCGGTGTTGAACAATTTTTGCATACATTGTATGTGCTAACACAATCAACCTTTTCCTGTTGCATTCATTCAGTTTCTTTTGCAATGTAACACATGAACAGAATTCATTCTACTTTATGTCATTCACTTTCTTTCTCAAAGAACCAAGAAAGTATTGATTCAAAGAGTAATATTTCTCTTGAAAGCCCAACAATAGGTGTGGAACAAAAATGCAGATATGGATCCCTTAAAAAATAGGTACAAAGTCGACTTAGAGCAAAGGAAATATTTGTTATGAAGGAAGCTGTATTTTGTCCTGAAACAATGTAATAAAAATAACAAAACACCATGAAACAATGTAAAAATCAGTGACAAATAGTTTTTGTAAAAAAAGAAAGAAATTTATGGGAACTGAAAGAAGCTCATTTGTAAAACTGATCTCAATTCTTAACTAATTATGAGTCAGCCCCCGGGCGATGATTCACCGCGGGTTTTATTTAAGGAAGGAAATGTATATTTCCAAGGTTCTAATTCGAATGACGATATTGTCACGAGATACATCTTTTTGAAGTTAGACTTCCTTCAAAAATATTTGAGCAGACACTTTCATTGTCTCGATACTTCATTTTCATACTTTTTTTTGGTTATAGCGAAAGAGTTTTGATTCCTGAAACAATTTGACAAACATTGATTATTAAGAAGCTATATTTAGCAAAAGTTCATTTTTGTATTTATTGGGAGGGAAGTATGTTAATTTCATGGAAGCAGTTTTTAAGTACCGGTATTCTTTATTCATTGCTAACTTCAAACTTAATAAGAGGAAAAAACTCACCAGCTATGAAACATTGCTCTTATTCATATTTTGCATGCTATCATTCATTCATGTTTATTCCAATTTATTTGTTTGCATTTTGATTTAGTATGCGCTTTAATAAATTTCAAAGTCACTTAAATTATCGTCTCGATGCCGTTTCGACGCGGGAAATTTGAAATTTCAAACATATCCAAAATTTTCTTGGGGCCTTTGCTTTTTTGATCCATTTTCCTTAAAATGCATGGGAAGCGTAGCTATATCGATGCCCCTTAGAATCTAATTCAAATTGTGCATGCCCAGATCAGTGTCAGGTCATTTCTTTGGTTTTCACGTCGAAATGGAAACGTATGGGCTCGACACATTGGTGTGTGACCTCGGCATTAGGGGGTAAAAGAACTTTCCAGTCATATCCTCCATACCTTGTCTTTCTTTCTCTCATGTCCCTCTCTGGTTCTTATATGTATATCCTGTCTGCATCATGTTTCATGTTGTTCATCTCCTGAATGCTACGCAGGAACTCTTTGAGGCTGTTCACACCGGCAGAGATAGCGCGCGCTAGACCGCGCTATCTCTGCGGTGTGGAAGGTTCAACGTCGTTTCGGTCCGCCCAACAGCGAGCCACGGCGAGCCCAAACGGCGTGCCACTGGAGCACCTCTTGGGGGCGGTCCACGAGAGAGAGAGCGCGGTCTAGCGCGCGCTAGAAAAAAGGGGGTGCTACGATAGACCGCGCTATCTCATTGCGGTGTGAACAGCCTCAAAGTTGTCATCAAGCAATGGGCCACTTTCGTATGTAACCAAATTTAATGTGTTCAGCTTTGTGACGCACCTTGAAACAAATTATTTCATTTACCTGTTATAAGTAATTGTATCTCATTATTCAGAATGTGAATTGCATACAGTATTTGTTGCTAGGTAGGACAAACATTATGGTTTGCCCACCAAACAAAACATGCTATATGCAGCTTGCATTCTCAGTTTCTGACTATTGACATACAATTATTCTTAACAGGTGAAGTAAATAATGTTTATTGAGGTACTTCACACAAAGACGTATGCATTAGATTTGGTTACATTACTGATATTTGTCAGAAGGACGTTAAATCATATAATAACACAGAGTTAATGCCCTTCTGGCTCCAAACAGAAGATTGATAGCTTTTGCCACCAAAGGTAGTGCCAAAGGCATTATTGTCAATTAAAATGACTACATGTACATTGTATAGAGGATAATTACCCTCGTAAGATCACAACCTATTCACCCAACCCGATAAACTAGGATTTTGTGATGCCAGTTTTTTAATAAAAATGCAGATAAAACAGTTGAGATTATCCCATGAATTGTGTAATTTTCAAAATTGTACCGTTTATTGAGCCATCTGGTCAGGTGCTACAAGAACACTAGTGACAAATGGAGATTATGTACACCTCTAAAACAAATGTGGTTTAATTGAAAGAAGGTAATAGCAGAGACTACTTCTAGATTCAAATTGTCATCATGTCCATATTGAACTTTTAAAATCAGTAGGCCCTAATCATTTTTTTTATTCAAGGAAATATATATTAAAAGTTGAGAAAAGCAAACAAAACACAAATGTACATGTATGGGACCTGTAACTGGCTTTGTGTGGCATTCAAAGCTCCCTGCCAATTATAGACTGAAAGTAGCCGTAGAAATGTCTGTGTAAAGGTACCTCTATGGTGGAAGTCAGCTTTCCAGTGAATAGACATGACATTTCAGCTTGTCCTACTTATTCTCTCTCTCTTCCCCTCACTCTCCTTCATTCTCTCTCTCTTTCTCTTGCTCACTCTCCTTCATTCTCTCTCTTCCTCTCACTCTCCTTCATTCTCTCTCTCTCTTTCTCTCACTCTCCTTCATTCTCTCTCTCTCTCTCTTTCTCTTGCTCACTCTCCTTCATTCTCTTTGCGCCCACAAATAGGGTCGATGACATTTTCACACCCTATAACTGGCAGGTTTAGCATGCAATATGACTTACCGGGCCGGGGTGGGCAGGAGAAATTCATTTGCGCTCTTGCGGCTCTGTCATTTCCACATTGAGAGCCATGGTGATTGAATCATAAGTCAATGAAATCAATTTCTTTTCTGAAGTCGTTTTAATGTCATGGTCTATCGTTTGTTTTCTTTATTCTCAGTTATAAAGACAACTGTGAGTGCTTTACGTGCCAATGCTCTCTCATTCTTTCTCCCTATCTGTTGATTATCAACAATTTCTCCAGTTCTCTTTTGCTTTTTCTCCTTCTACTTTCGCCCTTCTTTTTCTTCTTCCTTTTGCACGCTCTCTCTCTCTCTTTCTCTCTCTTTTCTTTTCTTTCCTATTTAAAAAAAATCTCCCCCCCCTTTTTCTCTTTCTATCTTTTTCATTTCCTTCTCTTATCCTTGTTTTCTTGGATTTTTTTCCTTGTTCTTATTTTTTTCCTTTTCTCCTTTTACCCTGTTTTCTCCTTCTTCCTTTCTTGTCCTTAATTGTCCTTATTTCACTCCCCTTGTCAATTTTCTCCCCTTCCCTTTTTCTGCCGGACCTCTCGATTTCCCATTTCTCATCTGCACTTTCTCTACCCCTTCACCCTCATTTTCTCCCCCTTCCCTCTTCCCTCCTCTCTTCTCTCCTCTCTCTCTCTCTCTCTCTCTCTCCTCTCTCCTCTCTCCTCTCTCTTCTCTCTTCTCTCTCTTTTCCCTTCTCTCTTCTCTCTTCTCTCTCTTCTCTCTTCTCTCTACTCTCTTCTCTCTCTTCTTTCCTCTCTCCCCTCTCTTCTCTCTCTCTCTCTCTCTTTCTCTTTCTCTTCTCTCCTCTCCTCTCTTCTCTCCTCTCTCTTCTCTCTCTTCACTCTCTTCTCTCTCTTCTCCTCTCTCATCTCTTCTCTCTCCTCTCTCTCCTCTCTCTTATCTCCTCTCTGACCCCTGAGCAAGCCGCTAAGATTATAAGAAAAAGGGTGGGATTGATTTTGGAAGGATTTGCCCTTTAAAACCCAAACTTTCAATTGTGACTCTTGCTTGCTATTATTATACATGACCTTTAAACATAAATCTCCCCCAAATCTGTTTAATATGGATACAGTTGTGCCTTTCACATTTAGTACACAGCATATGACGTAATTACAAATTGTTATATATCACAAATATTTGTTACATATTTTATAGATTGTTTTGGGAGGTTTTGTCTTATTTTGCGTATATTTTTACAAATCCTCTGCAGCCCGGAAGATGGCCATTACTGTCATAGGCAATACATAGCTCTTACGACCTTTTGAAATTATAATTGATTCAAATGATTTGATTCAAATTAATAGAAAAAAGAAAGAAAATCATATTGATTTAAATGATTCAAGTAATCGACGAAAACAAAAATTTGACTCTAGTTGACCTTTAAATATGAAATGGAAGTGAAAAGCTGATATTTGAGTATTTTTTTCTGTATGGGCCATATGGTAATACTCTATTCAATATATGAGCCTCAAATATTACTCCTGAAAAAAAGATTTTGCAAGTTTAGATACGCTCTCAATGCACAATTAAATTTGTGCACTTAAAAGTGACTTTTTAGTAGACTTCTCGATGCAACTGTAGGCGATCACATAAAATATGACCTGAGTCATGGGTTCTTTATTTTCTTTATCCATTAATTAGCCCATAGAATGTGGGGTGAAGTTTTTTGAGGTTGATTTGATACATTCTTGCTGTATACTTATTTTGTTCTTCAAAGGTGATTGTACCCATTAACATAATCACTTTTGTAGCGGTCTTTTCCATGATGGTACTCGGGGGAAATGTATTTAGAATATCACCAAGTCAAATCGTGGCAATGAACTTGCCTTCACCCATCCGTTAGAGCTATGAATAGATAGTCCCTTGACTGTGCCTAGACCTGTCTCCAATGGTCACTTACTCAAAGCATATGAAGCAATCTTTAACGTACAGACAGTCTTGGTAAGGCGATGTCAAAGTGATTTAGTTGCTTCAGCTAATAATCTAGTCACCCCGACAAGACCAACATAAGACCGTGCGAAGTACTCATTAGTCAGCGGGTTAACATTTAGAATGTAATCTAGATACACTTAAAACTAAGTCTTTCTTTATTCATGCACATATTGTGCACCATCTCCATTTCATAATGTGCACCATCTCCATTTCGTAATGTGCACCATCTCCACTTCATAATGTGCACCATCTCCATTTCATAATGTGCACCATCTCCATTTCATAATGTGCACCATCTCTATTTCATAATGCGCACCATCTCCATTTCATAATATGCACCATCTCCATTTCATAATGTGCACCATCTCCATTTCATAATGTGCACCATCTCTGTTTCATAATGCGCACCATCTCCATTTCATAATGTGCACCATCTCCATTTCATAATGTGCACCATCTCCATTTCATAATGTACACCATCTCCCATTTCATTATGTGCACAATCTCCATTTCATAATGTGCACCATCTCCCATTTCCTGGGAGCATTCATTTCATGGGATCAGTACCATGTCATTATTGAATGTTTCTCTAAGTTCATTTTTTCTTCTTCTTTTACAAACAGAAAATCCTCACAGGCCTGTTCTTCCAAGACCTAGGCCCCGAGACGACCGAGCCGACAAGCAACGGGAGAAACTTCAGAAAAAGCTGCGCGAGCGGGAACGGCAAAAAGAAAACACGGGCCACAGCAGCCATTCCAGTAGTCCCCAGTCCTCCCCCAGGGGCATGAACTCACATAGTAGCGGTGTGCTACGGCCTACGGAGAATGGCACCAACTCCAGAGGGAGTAAGAAGAAAAGACAGAACAGCCTCAAAGATGAAAGTGAAGGTAGGCACGGTCACCATTATTGTACTTGAAAAATTCATAATTCCAAATAAATTGTCATCAATTTATAATTGAGAATTTATTCTTAACCGCATATGTGAAAATATGCTTCCCACAAGCAATAACAGGTAATTAAGGAAATTTGTTTTGTAAATGAAAGCATCAAAGCAATATGCTGTCAGCACACTTGTCTAGGCAATTGTTATTCTGATGCTTCATGTAAGGCTAGTAGACATTTGTAGCATCACATATATACATGTACAACGAGCAATAACACAATTCATATCACTCATTGCCTTTACATCTTTTTCTTTAATTTTCCTTTATTTCTGACCTATGATCTTTTCTATTCATTGTGTTACCTAAAAAGGGCAACTTTTTCTAAATACTTGAAACTCAGAATAATATATCAAAGTGTTTTCATACAAAAATTTTCTTGGTAAGGTTGTAACAATTGTTAGATACATTTGAGGCACAAAGCTGCTTAACATTTAAAGACGTCATTACCAACAATATAGCGTTTGCATGATTGTGAGCTATCGCTTCCTGTGCTGTTAATATCTTTAGAAAGATATTGTATAATGCTCAAATTTTCTGACAGCAGCCTTGACTAAAATGTACTTTTATGGTCAAACGGCCTCCCATTTATTATCTTAGAGATGTAGTTGATTGAGGAGTAAAAAGGGATATTAGATTGAAAAAGAGGATAAAAAATGAATCTTGTGTGCTGTCTCCGCCACTAAGGCCATCTCATCCCGAATCAATTCATGCTCCAATTTAAATCAGCTTCTGTATAATATATGAAATGCCATATGAATTTTTCCGTCTCCCCCGCCGTGCGCTCCATATGGTCGCTTCCGGTAGGATGCCATCATAAACACTAACTCAATGCCTAGTGAGTGGTGAATCGAGTCCAGTATGCGCGGCGTGTATGGCTAGATGAATGGGATCTGAGACGACCGTTGTCATTTGCCCATTTGTGTGCATGACTTTATTGTGGCTATCACATAAGTGGGGAGAGATGGATGAATGAATGGGGAGAGAAATTTAATACAGACAAGGCTCTTTAAAATTGGCAAGATTTCATTGATGCTAAAATGTATCTTATTGTCAGTATGAGCCACTAAGCATCATGTTCTTTCCCAGTAATTACCCCCTTTTTCAAGTCATCCTTTCAACCCCTGCTTCCGTCGCTATTATTAGAATCAGATTGGTTTCCTATTATCAGGCCTTTCTTTGCTGTAATTGCGGTTGGATAATAATGAACAGATGCCTCTTGTCGAGTGTCTTACATCATCGATTTCTATTTTTTCACCCCAAAGCCAGGGGTATAATGGTTATTTTTACTCCGAGGGAGCAGTCTCCGCACCTTGACTCCTCCCGCCCGCACGTTTCATCTTCTTCCGCCCCCGTGCTGATTTGATTTGATGTGGGAATATTTACGCATGGACAGCCAGCTTTGTGTGACTGCCGTCGTTCGTTTATACAAGCCTCCCCCTCACCCTCTACCTCCACGGCATCCACCGAGCGATGCACACAACGCTCTCCTTCTTTGCCGTCACTCCCGGTATTAGCGTGTCAACAGTGATGCGGCCAGCTTGTCAATCGGAAAGACGCCTACCCTGCCGTGATGTCATCATTTCGTCACGGCAACGAGTCAATTGTTGCGTTCTAGCCTCAATCACGTCATCATCCTCTTAGCAAAGATGGCAGGGTCAACATCAATCTTTGTCCTGCTAGACGGCAAAATATATGCGTAAGCCTCGTCTCAAAATATACCGTACCCCCTTGGATAATGATACTCCGCCGACATCCGATCGGTTGAGTGCGCAGTGCAGATTTGCATCTGTCGTTATGCACGTATGTGTGTCTCCCTCTTGGTGCGCATGCCTCTCCCCTCTCGTTGCGATGGCTGAACCCACACCTCCCCACCACCTTGGGCAGTTGTATTATTGTCTGGCGGACGGGACTAGAATTAGATGCGGCCGTGTCTCTGACGACGGGGGAAGGCTGCTGAGAAACATCTTGTACTTGGGAGGCTAGAGTTACAAATAGCCGCCAATAGCCGTCCCCATTTATTGGCGAGGTGGTTTTATCACTAATGGGCCGGAAGCGGGATGACAGATTCTAGTGGCATTCAGAATGAGAGAAATTGAATGACCACCATTGTGGTGAATTCTCAATAAACTAGGTTATCTTTATTATATTCTTGAAGAGATTGAAGTCTTTTTTAGTAATTGAAATTGATTAAAAGCAGATGGGACTCCCTTTAGATAAATTTTGAAGTGTTCTGATAAATTCATGATTCAAATTTATAAATGTTTGGTATTCATTTGAGGAATCAATGATTTATGATAACTTGCTTTATATATTCCAAATAGTCTTCTTTGATGCAAACAATATTTTAGCTCCTTCTCATTTTTCATCTGATAAAATATAATCTTTAATTTACAGTAAAAAAAGAGTTGAGGCAACATAAATTTTTGTAAAAGGCTGAAATTGTAGAATATATCATACACTAAACTTTGTTGTGTGAGCTCTCTCCTGTGGCTTACAATGTCCACTTAAATTTCTCTGTTTAATTTCATCATGCAAATGATTGTCCATTTACATTAGGATACCATTAGCTTGTGAAAATATTTGTATACCTTTCATATTACATTTGAAGCTCTTGGTGTCGATTTACCAGATGTTCGTTTCTCACCCCCATTCTTACTGAGAAATATCTATTTTTTGTCATGGCAGTTCAATATGGACTATGTACATATGAAAATCATACTGAAAAATATTGAAAAATATAACAAAATATAATTATGTAATTCCCACCCCCAATAGAATGTTTTTTAAACACCAAACAACATTACAAAATAACAGATATTACAGATTTTCGAAGTATTAAATCTCACTTTGATAGTGAATTGCTAAGGTCCATAGTCCATGGTCCATGGTCTAATGGAGTACATGTACATGGGAAAGAAAAAATAGAGAAGAATTATTATTAGAAATTTGTGCATAGATATTTTTGTTTGCAATGAGAAGAGGATGGGTGTGGGAGGTTTGTGGTCGTGCAGAGATCATTGCTTTGTGGGTAGAAACTTGCTTATTTTGAGAGCCCTGCCTTCCATCAAGAAACACCCAATCTTGGTAAAACCCTTTCAAAAAATATATTTATAAGCTACAATAAACAAACTTAAAATGTGCTGTAAAGGAATACATGTTTTTACAAAATCTATTTTCAGGATTATTTAGGAAAATCACATTTACAAATTGCTACTAAAGTGTCAACAAAATATCTTGGTTTGATTACTGATATAACAAAACTCAGGAAAACTTTCTTAAGAATTTTTTTGCATCTAGATGTATGTTTGCGATGAGAAGAGGATGGGAGTTGGGTGTTCGTAGCCATGCCCAGCTCATTGCTATGCGGACAGAATCTTGCTGATTATGAGAGCACTGCCTTGTAATGAGAAACTAAAAATATTGTTGGTTAATTACTGATATAAGAAAACTCAGGACAATTTTCATAGGTTTTTTTTGCCAACATATATTTTTGCGATGAGCCTAGCTCATTGGTATGTGGGCAGAATCTTGCTTTAAGAAGCACTAGCTGCCTTGTAATGAGATACACCCAATCTTTAATTTCAGTCACATTGAGCCTGTAAAGGTTAAGGATGTCATATTAATCCGTGCTACAGACCTTCCAGGGAGGGGGTAGAGGGGGAGGGGGGAGAGAAGGGGAGAGAGGGGTGGGGGGAGAGGGAGACGGAGGGGGAGAGGGAGACGGAGGGGGAGAGGGAGATGGAGGGGGAGAGGGAGACGGAGGGGGAGAGGAAGATGGAGGGGGAGAGGAAGAGGGAAGGGGGAGGCAGGAGAGGGAGGGGAGGGGATGGATACAGCAAAGGATTTGAATTTCAAGTACAAGGATGGATTATGGGATTTCACCAGAACAAATGTCCAGATTAGCAAGTAACCATTAATCACTGCTTAGCGTATGTGTACTGTGTAGAGAACGTTAGGCATCTTAATGAATAATGAACCGAAATATCAGTGCCCTGATTTCATAGTCAATACGAAGCATGAAATTCTCATCATTTGTATCGTTCATCTGTAAATGCAGTCATCCAAATGACGGATTGATAGAAATTATAATTTTCAATTTTACATATTCTTTTAGAAAATCAAAGTTTCTTAAAAAAAAAAAAAAAAAAAACCTTCTGTTAAAAGATGATAAGTAATGAAAGAGCAAACAGTATTCTGTGAGAGAAGGCAAGCGAGATAGACGGAGAGAGAGACTGATTGATTGAAAGATAACAACATAGAAGGGAAAAGAAAGACAAAAATTGGAAGAGGAGAGGGAGAAAAATCAATTGCTCTGTATTGATTTCTTTTGGTATTACTCTGTTTGTTTTTAAAATTTTATTTGAGAATGAAATAAAGACTGAGGTAGAAAAAAAATTAAACACTGAGGTAGAAAAATAATTAAACAATACAGTTTCATTCATGTAAAGACTTTTTCCATTTCATCTTGCTTTAAATCTCAATTTCCACAAAACAAAAGCATTTGCAAGGCCCCACATTCTGATTGTTTCTTACTGCAGGATTTTCATTCCATTACGCTAGGCATTGCAACAAAGAGATATGGATAAAATGGACTTTAGTAAAATAATGATAATAATGTCTTTGTTGAATCAAGAACTTTTCATTCGAGACCTGAAATTGATTTATTTGTTATGAGAGCACGGACTAGTAATGAGATACACTAAATCTTTGATTTCAGAGTCACATTGAGCCTGTAAAGTTTATAGATTTCAAATTAATCCTTGCTTCTTTTAAAAATCATTTTTCTATCAGCAATTTTAAACCCAAGCTGTTGCTTCAGCCTGTACTTATTATTTGCATTTGTTCAAGATTTTACTGGTCACTGACTTCTTTGGGTTGTATTTGCATTTGCACACCAACCAATTCATGTAAAAGTACATGTATTCTAATAAGTATTTGATTAA